TTCCACTCTACACATGAAGGAACTCTGCTCTGAGCCTTGGCACCTTTGCCCCAGGTGGGAAGCAGGTGTGGTAGGCGCCAGGGTGGAAATGCAAGTCTGAGCTATTTGCTCTGGGCGTCTGTACTCCCCTTGGGGCTATGTGCCCTTAGGCAAGCCTTGGGACTTCTCTGGGCCTCGGGCTCTTTAACAAGAAGGATTGGCATCAGTTGACCTCTTGGGTTTCTTTTGCTCTGGGGTTCTATGATTCTGCAGTCTGAGATACCCTGGGGCGCAGCAACAGGAAAATGCATTCTCCATTGCCACAGGCTTTCATCTCCCAGCTCTCACAGTGTCTGCATTAGAGCTCTCTTTCATATCTGTTCTTTGGGACCACAATCCTGCCTACTTTTCCTTCTCATTATTTTAAGAAAAATGCTATTCATTTTACTGCAATTGGACTTAGAGCCAGACCCTGAAACACTAAGATTTTGAATGCATTTCATTATTTGAACAGCCCTAGACATTAGATTGACCAGTTCTGGTGGCCTAGTGGTAAGGAGTTGCACTGGCAACATAAGGGAGTGTACACGGTTCAAATCCACCAGCTGCTCGCTGGACAATTTGCCCTTAGGCGATTAGCTGACTCTGAAGACCCTCTGGAGGATCAGCTATGGGTCTCTTCTGACTTGACAACACACCTCAAGAAGACAGTAGATTATGTTGTTGTTGTTGTTAATTGCCGTTGAGTCATAGGTGATTCACAGTGATCCTATGAATGAAAGACATGAACATTTGTATAACTTTTGTTTCTCCAAGTTCATAGAGTTTCTGAAGACAAGCTATTTCAGAAGTGGATGCCACCTCTACTTCCAAAGCTTGCTTTAATCGGGGAGCTCCACCAAACACTGTCCACCATGGATAACCATTCTTGCATTTGACACATCAGTGTCACAGTGTTTAGCATCACAGCAACCATGAGTTACCTCTGTAGAGTAAATGGAATAGATTATGAGACACATTTTATCAATGAGAAAACAGAGGCTCACGGAAGTTAAGCGCCTTTCTAGAAAGTGACAGAGGAGGAGGCAGATCCCAATGTCTCCAGTCTTGGCGATATCCTCTTGCCACTGGACTTTAACGCTGTCAGAATTGAAGCTCTGTGATGCCAGAAGGTCTTTGTTTTGGCCATTACAGTGTTCTCTATTCCTAGAACAGTGCCTGATGCATCAAAGGCTCAGCACACACACTTGGTGGAGAAATACTTAGGACTGAGGACTCAGCTGGTAGTTTCGCTCCACTTCACTCTGAAAGATCTTCTTTTCACCAGGGCTCACTCTAAGACAAAAAGCAATGGGAACAATTTTCATTCAGTGCCTGTGTTAATTCCATCTCTCGGCTGTGGTCGACAAGGGAGGCAAGGCAGGCTGCAGGGTAATCCACCACCACCATGTGTAATTGGAATGGAAGGGGGCCCTCAGCTAGGCTAATAGTGCTCAGCTTCCAGCCTGTTTCCTGACTGGGGCTCGGGAAGAGCCCCTTGGCTTGCAGCTCTGTTCTTGATGAGTCAATGGGAAGCGAGTAATGAGCTGCTTCCCAGTCTTTTGCCAGCTTCAGGGAACCCAAGGAAGCAGGTCACTGATGATCAAAGGATCTTGGTTCCCTTTTCCCAGGGCCCTTTAAGATCTTCTCCTTTACCATTTTTGAGGAGTAGAGTCACTGGGGTCACAATTTATATCTCAGTTTCAAAGGACAAAGTTAGAGTTTAAAAACAAGCCCCCAAAAACTTCACTGCTGTTTCAACTCCCAGTGGATACTCTGTGGGGTCTCCAAAGTTGTAAGTCTTTACCCTTTGCGGGAACAGACTGCTGTCTTTTTTCCTGCTGAGTAGCTGAGGCATTTGAATTACCATCATTGATGTTAGCGGCGGAGGGTTTTCACCACAAACACCACCAGAGCTCCCTAAGGTGAGAGTAAGAGAGGTTAGTGATATCATCGCTGAGATCTCCTGAGTCACAATTGAGCAAGTGCAACCAGAGTGCTCCTTAGAAACAAGGATGGAGACATTTCACCTCATATATTCTAAACATGTTGTCAGGAGGCATCGTCCTTGGAGCAAAGCACTGTGCTGAGAAAGGTGGAGGGTCAGAGAGAGAGAGGAAGACCCTCAGTGGGGGCTAGACACAGTGACCGTCAGGATAGACCTGAACATCATGGAAATTGTGAGGATGGAGGTTTTATGTTAGGTCAAGGATTTTTATCTGTTGTTTATAGAGTCGCTTTGAGTCATGACCAGCAAACAACATAACAGTGACTACAAGCATTTGAGTACTCTATGCATTGAGTGCTTCCCGTGTATGATTACAATTTTAAAACGTGACCCCTAAAATATATTTTATAAAAGAGAAGAGTTACTCAACTTTTCAGGGAAAAATGAAGTAACTTGCTCAAAATCCCACAGTGAGTGAGAAAAGCAGCTGGGACTGGCATTTAGGTTTTGGAGTTAGAGTCGGGGTTCGCAAACCATGGTTGTTGTTGTTAGGTGCCGTTGAGTCGGGTATGATTCATAGCAACCCTATGAACTCCATCTTATCCTGTGCCATCTTCATGTTACCTGCCTATTGCGGCAGTCACAGTGTCAATCCACCTGGTTGAGGGTCTTCCTCTCCTTTGCCGACCCTCCACCCTTTCCAGCATCATGTCTCTCTCTGAAGAATAGTCTCTCCTAGCAACATGCCAAAATATGTGAGGCATTCTTGTCTCGAAAGAGCACTCTGGCTGCTCCCTCTCCAAGATGTATTTGTTTGTTCTCTTGGCTGTCCATGGGATGTTCAGTGAGTGTTCTTCTTCAGCACCACAGTTCAAAGGCATCAATTCTTCTCTGTCATCCCTATTCATTGTCCAGCTCTCAGATGCATAGCAAATTATTGGAAAGACCATGGCCTGAATCAGATGCACCTTAGTTCTAAGCATGAAAATCTCTTAGAGAGCTGCTACCTTTAATCCAGGCTGATTGAATCGCAAGAGTTTCCCCAGGCGGTTTTAGTATGACAGTCACTGGTTCAAAGGCAAGTAGTGTGTAGAGTGACAGAGTTTAACCACTCTTTTAGAACTGTGTTTGTTAGAGTTCTTGAGTAGCACAAATGATTAAAAACTTGGCTTCTAGTTAAGAAGTAGGCACCTGGAGTCCACTCAGACGATCCTTGGATAAAAGGCCAAGGATAACTTTACCTCTGAGAAGTTGACCATTGAACACTCTGTGGTGTACAATTCTATTATGAGGTCACATACTAAGTAGGACTGATTCTACAACAACTGGTTTAATACTTTTTAATACATTAAAGCAACAATGGAGGGTACAGGGTGATAGAAGTTCTGATAAAGCTTAGATCATGAGCTGGTAGAGCCGTCATCATCATACCTTATCGTCAATTATGTATCTCTTTTCCCTGCATCCCCCTCATCTGCCCCTGAGTGTCCAGTACACTCCTGCATGGCAACGTGTATCTTCCCTTTGCCTGCATCCCCACTGTCTGTCATAATCACATGCAGGGCTTCAAACCAGTTCATCCCTGCTGTGCTCCCTGCTGAGAATCTCAGCCAGCAGGCAGTTGAACTGGAAGGAGCCAGTTTGAAGCCTTGATGCCTATACTCATATAACTTTATTGTTAGAATCAGCATTTCAAGGATGAGAGAGGCTCAAAAGGTTGTTAAGGCTCTAAATGCAAGTGTTTATCCAGTCTTGGCTTGAACCCCTGCAGTGATAGGAAACTCGTGGCTCCTTTAGCCATTTTATCCTATTGAAACAGCCCTGGATGTTAGAAAGCTCTTCCTTGTTCTGAATCACTAAGATTTCACCTACCTGTATTGCTTCCATCCCTTGGAGACACACAGCATAGATCTAATTACTCTCCCCATGTTCTAAGACACAGCTTTTGTTTTTCTGGATTTTCTTTTCTAAAAGCCAAACCAACTGAAGTTTCTTTGCATGTATTCATGCAAAAGTTTTAAGTTCTTTTATCTAGATTTCCCCTCCTTCTACTTTCTTTTCAAAGACAGGGGCCCAGAGCATATATAATATCATAGTCATAGCCCAAATAATTTGTATCATAATGGCCCCTCTGCTCCTTTCTCTTGCAGATACTCTGGTCCTGCCATTTATCTGGTAGATATAAATGCCATGGCATTTTTCTTTTTAAAATGACCGACCATAACTTTAATGTAAACAGATGAAATCTTGCTTTCTTTGTGTTTACTGCTGCTTGGCGATGTCTCTCACCTCCCCTGGACTTGTGCACCTGGTTTGTTTGACTTAAGTCTGTGGCTGTCCTTTGATTCTGTTGAATCCAGCACATCATAATCTAATTGGGTACAGTTCTTTCATCCAGCACATCAGCTGTCCCTTCCAGCTTCATGTCATTCACAAATGAAGAGCTGTTTTGGAGACATTCATGACAGTTAGAGAACAAGGACTTCCTCTCCTTGGGGAAATGTCTTCTCTAAAAGCTTTAATTGCTGATCCTTTAACTCTTAGAGTGACAAGAATCACTGCCTTCTTCCTTCTCCTCCCATTGTACTTATGCACAAAGAGAACTCACCATTCCTCCCCTCTTAAGAAGTGAAAGAGGCTAAGGAAGGGATACATCCCTTCTTTTCCTCTGCTTTGGGCTCATGCCATACAAAAGCGCACTGGTGATTCATGGCTATGACTGGAAGAAATATTTTTGTTTCTCAGTCTCAGTTCAATGACTATGCTGGAAGAACAAAGTTGGTATAGAAGCCAGCTAGTACTATAGTAGGCTTGTAGTATCGTTACAGTCTACAAAGATGTAGATGTTGAGAATGCAGTGTGGCACGATGGAAGGGCACACATACAGCCTGAAACCTGGGTGATAGCTGCCTTGATGAGTTAGGAAGAAACTGTCTTCTCTTTTGTTCCTTTGGGAACCATCATCCTCAGTCACAGTTCTCTAGTTTGTCTGTGCACATCTTATGGAAAAGCTAGAAACATCCACAAACACCAGCTCTTCCTGACTCTCAAGTCGTGATGGCCATCTGGTGATGAGTTCAAGTTTTGTAACATGCCTACTGCTTTGATTTGGGGACTATTATCAGTTGTTTAGGCTGAACCATTTGAAATTGGTGTTTTCATTTTTTTTTTTTAATTAAAACCACACAAGTCCCATGAATTTCGAATGGTTCAATCTAATGCATTGCCTCTTCTCTTTGGAGATCATCTTACAGAAACATAGGGTGTTAGAGTTGAGAGGGATGTGGGGCCATTCATCTTGTAAAAACCCACTCTGACACACTGCCTTCTTTCTGTAGCATTCCTGTGAGAATTACCTTCTTCTGCTTCTACTCTGGCTGGATGCACTTGCTTCTTTCTCTTGCATGTGCCAACTTAGAGTACCTGTTCATGTGCCCTCATTTATTTGTCTCTTGTTTGAGCTGAGCTATTCCTTATGTGACATGCCTTTAGGCCCTTTTACTATCTTGATTTTTCATTCGGTTTTGACACTCACCTAGTTTGATGTCCTTCCTAATAAGTAGCACTATCTTCTCAATGAAATCCTAGGCTTTGCACAGTCAGACAGGATGAGACCACTGATTTCTTCTTATTTATCCTGGGAGAAAAGGATGTGCATCAGGGCTACCAAATTTACCTTTCATCAATGGCAGATTTACATTCGTCACTCACTCTTCAACTTCATTCTTGCTTCTCCATCTACTTCTAGATGCCAATTCTGACATGTAGCAAGTTGACCATTCCTCTTAGCTCTAGGTCATGGAAGCATTCAGACAGCATATCATCAATGTCATCAGCTGGACCATTGATAAAAATGTTGAACATTTTGCTATACCCACCAGTAAACCCCTAGAATGGGGAACTAACGTCCCTGGGGGTTCCCCAGGGAAATGTTGATCTGAGGCAAAGTTATAGAAGGAGTTAGGCATTTTCTTCAGAGCCTTCTTTCCTTTCCATCTAAATATTCTCCTCTCCAAGTCCAGCCAGAATCCTGTGCCTTTCTTCAGGCCCATGTGACCACCTGCCTCATCCCATGTTGCACGTGTCTTTTCTTGTTCCTTGGCTCAAACTCACTTAGGCCATACTCCTGTCTTTGAGGGAAGACTTTTAGCTGGACTGTGCTCATGATCAAGGAGCCATGATGGCGTTGAACTGCCATGCAAATAGTTGACAGTTGTAACCCACCAGAGGCACCCTGGGAGAAACGTGAGGCACTCTACTTTCTTAACACTTTCCAGCCTTGGAAACCTTGTGGGCCGTTCTACTCAGTCCTACAAGGGCCCTGAGAGTTGAAATACACTCCCTGGCAGTGGGTGGATTCTTACCATCTATCTCAGGCACACACTGAGGTCAGCGACTGAGAAGTCTGTGTGTATCTCAGGCACAAATGTTCCTCATTGCATTTATTTAAAAAAAAAAAAAGGAGGGGGAGGAGTAACTGAATCACTCCAAGAAATGACTTGAGATAAATTTCGGTTTTGGTAGATTTGGAGATAGAGAGGGAGGAAGCAGACATTTATATGGGCTTCCCCCAAGAACCCCACTCAATGGATTGCCCTCAGTTGATTCTGACTCAGTGATGCTCCACCAGGTTTTTGAGACTCTAAGTCAGAATGATGAGGACACTGCCCTGCTTTCTCCCATGGACTTGCTGAAAAGGTCTAACTGCCTCCTTTATAGTCAGCGCTATACCACTAGAGCTCCTTAAAGGGACCTCCCAGTGCTGCTTAAATCAAAGATCATCAATGAAGTTGAGTTCATATCCAGGTATTATGTTCCTCAGTACAAATTAAATGGTATAGGTACCACCCAGGCAAGGGAATTCATCTGCCCACCTCAACTTAGAGTCCTCTTTATCCTCTTAGTAACTTTGGCTCCCATATAAAGTTCAAGTTCTGATGATGCCTTCCCTGCAGTTACATTTAATGAAATGAAATATGTAAAGCAAGAAGAGCTATACTTTGTCTCAGAACATAATGCATCTTAGCTCTTATAGTAATTCCACCTTTAAACCAAGGTAACAGAATTTCCTTTTAAGTCCTTAAATACTAAGAAAACACAAACAAGCAAGTTCATTGATGGCATGAATATTACATAGTGGAACTGCCCCGTAGAGTTTTGTGGTTGTAATCTTTACAGAAGCAGATTTCCAGAACTCTCTTTCAGGGCACCATGCCTGGGTTCTAACCACCAACCTTCAGGTCAGTAGTCAAGTACAAGCCGTTTGCACCAGGCAGGAACCTTAGAATGCTATGCAGGGGAACATTGCTCGCTTTCCTCTCTCTCTTTTGCAAACTCCTGCTCTCCATTTGAACCCCACTCCTTGTACCTTCATCTTCTCCTTCAGTCCTCTGAAAACATCAAAAACATCAGGTGAAAACAAATGTTTCCATTACCTTCTGATTTTATGTAACTACTCTTTAAAAAAGCCCTCACAGCTTCATAAGAATCCAAACATTGGCACTTGGCACTTGCAGCAATTAGTGACATTTAATTTCTCTACTTCAGTACGGAAAAAAGAAATGATATATGTAGGGTGGTTCCCCCCCCCACTGGAATAAAAGTACCCTGAAACTGAATGAAATAAAAGTCTTGGCAGAGACAACTTGCTGGCTTGGTTTTTTTCTCTCCCTTTCTCTCTTCTATGAGTGACTTCCTTCCTTAAAATACTTTTTCCATTACCCAGCCAGAATGGAGGAAGGAAGGATGGATTGAAAAACATCGGGAGAGGGGGAGGGTACAATCGGTTTGCAGGGAGCCGGTGTTAGCATAAATGATGGAGGGAGATCTTCAGCTTGGGACCTGCTGCCCGCACATTGCATCTTCGCTGGTCCCTTCCAGTAAATGGTTCCCTCTTCTCTGTATTCATCATCCCCGTGACAATACCCATGATGGTCACAGCTGCTTATAAATGACTTTGCTTTCAGAACCATTTCCCTTCTCGCTGAGCTGTGAGCAGACATCTCCATGGGGATTTTCCCAATGGGAGTAAATAGTTTGGAAGGCCATATACACATTTCACATGCAATTTACATATGATTTGAAGGCTATCTTAAAGCAATTTCAACTTTGTCTTATCTCCAGATCCCTGGTGGTTTAGTGAGTAAAATGTTTGGCTGCTAACTGAAAAAAAAGTTGGGAGCTGGACCTTCTCCTCCCAGTGGGGGGTGGGGTTTCACACTGACCTCAATTTCATGACAGCAGTTAGGGTAGTTTTAGTATCTGTCTTATCCACTGAGGTGGGTGGGAAAACCCAAACTGCTAACAGTTGAGTAGATTCTGACTCCTGAAAACCTATGTATTACCTAGGAGAACTATTCCATGGAGCTTACTTGCCAGTAATCATGGAGACGGATTGCCAGACTTCTATTTTTGTTCTTTGTGAAAAAGAGCAAAGGCCACATGGGAACAGCTCTATCTATCCTTTACCAACTGCACAAATAGGAACTGTCCCCTTCAACAGCATCAGCAACACAAAACCCATTTTCATAGGATCAGGCATCTTCCCCCGCGCTCCTAAAACTCTTTCTACTACTCATCCCAACACCAATCTTACTGCTTACCTAGGTCCAAAATCTATTTTGGTAGCTCACAGACCACAGACAACCATATTAGGGAAGTAAAAAAAAAAGGGCTATATAATTTAGGTTAGTAACAGAAGACAATCCCTCAAGAGATGCTAACATGCACTCACGGGCACCTCAGTCTTCTGCCTCACGATGGCTTTAGACCAGTACGACAAAACTTATTCCTGCTAATTATGGCTCTCACCCTCCTCTACCTGTCATCCAACAAACTTGGGCAAAGGCTCTGGTTCCCTGTGGAGTATCAGTCCCAAGGTTCGCTGTGTCTCTGTCAGATCTCTGGTTCTTTGATGTGGCTGCAATGGCTGGTGCACCTGTAAGCCCTGTTCTAGCTGCTACAAGAGTCTCTGGTTCCGAAGAACACGCTGCATTCTCTTGCTTCTTCCTTGCTGGTAGTGAGATTCTCAAATTTTTCTGCTGGCTCTGCTTAATTTGATGGTGGTGTTTCTGTTGTTGTTAGGTGCCATTGAATCTCATATGACTCCTAGCGACCCTATAAACAACAGACCTGAACCCTGTCCCATTCTCACAATCTCCAAGACCCTCAGGCCCATTGCTGCAGTCACTGTGTCTGTCCATCTGGTTGAAGGTCGTCTTCTCCTTCACCATTCCTCTCCTACAACATGCCCAAAGTGTATGAGATGAAGTTTCACCAGCTTTGCCTCCAAGGAGCCCTCTGGCTGCACCTTCTCCAAGACATATCTATTTGTTCTTCTGGAAGTCCATGGGATATTCAATACTCTTCTCCAACACCACAGTTCAAAGGCATCGATTCTTCTTCAGTCATCCTTGGATTAGCCCTTGTCAATATGCTAACACTCCCTCTTTGCCCATTCCTGTCCATCCACGTGGCAAAGTCAGTCAATGGCTAGGGAAGCCATGTTGAATGATAAACCCTTAACACTATGTTTTTCTTTAGTACCCTTCGGTGGGATCACACTGGCCAACTTTAGATTAGTATCTGAGAGTCAACTGTGCCACCCAAGACCTTCAGGAGAACTTTCCTCTCCTTGTTCCTTCCTGTATTCTAAGAAACTGTGCCCATAGACAAGCAGGCCCAAGAAGGCCAGAATATGGCTCTGGAAAGGAAGGAGTTACAGTAGCAGACATTTTATTGAGAACCAGAGTTGTCTCTGGATCCAGCTAAGGTAGCACGGGTTATGGTGTGCCATCAAGATTAAAGAGATTTCATGTCTTTTCTTACTTTTTGAAATGAAACAGAAAAGATCTGTAGTTACATGCACATTGAGGGTTGACGACACTCCACGCTCTGTCTCACCTGGGGCCATCAAAGCCTAGTCCTGTTCCCTGCCTCCACCTATGGGAACTTTGATGGTGCTGGTTTTTGAGTCAGATCTGCGGATCTGTTCCAGTGCAGAGACAGTGGGAGATTGTTCTGGAAAGATGTGGTTCTCTCTGAATGCCTGTCCC